TAACAGTAGATATAAAGTGAGAATCTGATTGGACTTACTCTAATTTCAGGCGTATGAGTGACTGTTATTTTTTTTCTTGAAAGTATTAAAAATAAACTTACTGTTTTACATAGTCAGAGGTTTTTAGATTTATGCAAATATTTACCACTTTCAATGCTCTTCCTTAAGTCTCAATTCTCAGACCTTCCATTTGAGATCATTTTTGTCTAAAGAAATTTCTTTAGACTCTTGTTAGTGAGAGCAAACTCTGCTTTTGCTTGCCTGAAAATGCCTTTATTTTGGCCTCATTCTTGAAAGATCTTTTCGCTTGGTATTGAATTCCAGGCTGACAATCATTTCCTTTTAACCCACTGAAGATATTATTCCAGTCTTCTGATTTCTGTTACTTATGAAAATCAGTTACCAAACACTTTGAGGATAATCTATGTTTTTTTCCTGCTACTTTTAAGGTTTTCTTGTTTGTTTTTGGTGTTCTATAGTTTCACTATCATGTACCCAACCTACCTACCTAAGTGTAAACTTATTTTTATTTTACTTGCTTGGAATGTGGGGGATTTTCCAAGTCTGGGGGCTGGAGTCTCTCACTGGTTTTGGAAAATTCTCAACCATCATTTTGTCAAATATTGCCTCTGTTCTCTCTTTCCTATTCTTCTGGAGTTATACTTAGATTGTTTTTTTCTCACAATGTCTTCCATGTCACTTAAAGTCTTTATTCTTTTCTTTTTCTTTTTCAGTTGCAATTGGGATGATTTCTTCATCTCTATATCCCTGTTCATTGGATTGTACTTCTACTGCGTCAGATTTTTATTGCCACAGAGTTTTAAATTTCAATAATTTACATTTTTTAATTAAGTTCTATTTTTTTTCAAATATTGTGGGTCATTCTTTACAGTTTCTTATTCTCTGTACATACTTCAAGCTGACTTTTATTCCTTTATTCTTATTTTCTATAATTTTTTATAAACTGTGTCTAGTAATTTCAGTATCTGAAGTCTTCTGAATCTGTTCCTGCTGGCTTATGTTTGCACTGCTTCTCTCTAATGGTGTCTTATTTTCTTCTGTGCTTATTTTTAAAATGGTGAGCTGCTCATTTTCCTCAGAATTTTACTTATAATTATTGTTTAAGATTTAAGATAAAAATAGTTTCTTTAGAGAGGATGGGCTTTCTTTGAGGTGTCTAAGCACTATCAGTCAAAAATCATTCTGCATTATTAACTTAAGGTGTTTTGGGATCACCCAGGTAGTAAAAATTCAAGTTACATTTTTGCATGACAGCGGCACATGATTCTAAATTCTCAGATCGGATTTTGCTTTTCCCTTATTAGGTGTCAAGGTTTTAAAACAGTTAATTTTCTTTGTAGACTTTGGGGGAGGGTCGTATGGAACTAAGAGGCAAATTTATTTTTAGTACATCTTTACACTGAATAAATAATCCTTGGAAATGTAGCATTTTTTTGTGTGTATGTTTCTTATAAGACCATGAAAATCAAAACTCATGTTAACTGGGTTTGATAAATGCCCTTAGGGTGAAGGCTGGCTTTAGGCTCTTACACTCTGTAGGGTTTCTGTCTTCATTTCATTTTTTGACCTAAAAATGTCTTACTTTATTGCCAGTTAATCAATATATTTAGTAAGATTAAAAAAGTATTTTTCCAGGATTTTTATTTGTTTTATAGTCCATGATATTGCCAGAAACAGAAGCCCATATTCTTCTATTTATTATCCAAATTTTCCTTGAGGGATATTTAAGGCAAATAATACTGAACAGAAATACTTAAAATAATTCTGCAAATATTTTGCAAGCAAATCTGTAGATTTTATAGACTACTTTTTAATATAAATTTTAGTTGGATGCAAACCAAGTATCTGGTTGACTATTTTGTAGATTCTATTATTTTATTTTACTTAAAAGGAGTGTAAATATTATTGTTGTATAGTGCATTTAGTCAATGAATGACTGATCTGTTGGCTCAAATTCATCTTAGGTGATTTGCAAGATTATGCTATATAACAATTTCAAAAATCTGTGACTTAGAGTAACAAATACTTATGTGTTACTCTTGTTGCATGTTAGCTACAGGATAGTTGCTGCAGTATACTGCTCTAGGATAAAGGCCAGTTTCATGTCTACTCCATGTATTTTCTTATTCTGAGCCTCTACTTGAAACATGTCTTTTTCATGGCAGGCAATACAAGACTAAGACTGGGATGAACACTGCATTTGAATTGAGCAGTTAGCATGTGTCACATCTGCTCACAAACCATTGGTTAGATAAAGTGCAATCATACAACCTACCACAGTCTTCAAAGTTGCGTCGAATGCCTCATTTACATTTGAGGTTGCTCGCAATATCAATCTTCTTAAAGAAAATGAGGATTTTAGATTAAATTATCAATCTTTGGCAACATATATGTCTAAGGACAGGTTAAAGGAAAATAAGAAAACCTCAAACCAAATCTCTTCAATTCTGGGTCAGGTTTGAAATATATTTTGTGGGAAAGATGATCATGCCTGTCAGTGCTTGAACTGATTTGGAAAAATAACTTCTCATTCTTAGAAATGTATAATTAATTGAACACTAGGTAAAGGAGATGAATTCTCATTGGAGTTAGTTATAATAAAGTTTTATTTTAAAGTGCTACTCTAGAGTAGAAAACTTGCAGAGTATCTCTTACAGCAAATAGGAATTATTGGATATTTTTCAGTTACAGTTCAGGATCACATATTACATTTTGTTTGCGTTGTGATTACACTAAAAATGCTAGATTTCATGGTATCACAGAATGTTAGATTTGAAAGGATCCGAAATGCATATATTTTCAACTGTAGTTATTAATGTATCATTTTGTTGCAATCAGTTGTGAGATGTCAAAATCATTAGTTGCTAATTACAACTATTACTAGCAATAGTTAAAATATGGAAGACTGTAAAAGATATACTTCGTTTGTTTTCCTGTATCTTCACTTTCATTTACCTGCATTGATTTTTTTTTAATGTGGCTGAAAGAAGTTACAGTTAATTTTACAAGAATTTGCAAGATTCCTGGGTATACCATGGCTATTTGGCATCCATTGGAATGTCATCCATTGGGAAAAAAGGTTGAATATTAGTCCTTATGGAGCATGTAGTCCAACTCCCTACTTTTGGAAGACCCTGAAATGCGGAGAGTAATTTGTTTAGTTTCACACATCTCATTAGTTAAGTCTATAATCAAGGCCGCTTTGCTTCCAGTGCAGTGCTTTCCATTCCAATAAATGACTTTTTTTTTTTCCAACGGCCAATATAGGAAAGTAGGGCTGAGGCAGGAGAGGATTTGGCAAAACAGTATGCTTCCTTTTTCTAATCTTTAGTCTCAGTTCCCAAAGTAAAGGAAAAGCACCAGAGAAACAGAGCTCAGATGGTATATTTTGCATGTTATCTATACATGGGAACATTCTTTTTCAAACCTATTTGATTGCAACTCACAATAAGAAATACAGTTTAAATCACAACATAGGACAACACCCTCTCACCTTCCCCCATGACTAAAACAAAAGTTTCACAATTCTTGCCCTGATCTTTTACATTCCAGTCCATTCTAGCCTAACTCATTACAAAATAAAATTGATTTTTGATCACAGTTTGAAAAACACTGGTCTAGAAACAGGATACAGGTTTCAATCGGTTGACAAACTCCAAAATTACTAGCTTTGCTTGGTGTCATTCACAGAATAATCAACTTCCCTCATATTTATTTGAACTACAAGTACAATCCCTCAGAAGAACAGAACCTGTAGAATCTTTTCCTCACTGGAACATTTCATTACTGTATCTCACAGATTCTAAAACTCATTGTTTTTGACATTTTAACATCTCTGAATTAAAGATGTATCTTACAGAAATCAGGAGCATGGCGCAATTGAATTGGCAGTGTTTCTTTTCTTTTTGGGTAACATGAAATAATGATGAGTCTTAAGTGTATGACTTCTTAAGAGTTTCTGTGAAATATATTAATAAGAATAATTATAGAGGCCAAATTCTATTGTTATTCATTTTGAAGTGTCCAGCTAAACAGAATGCTTTTTGACGTCTTGGTAAGAAAATACAATGAGATGATAACTGCTTAAGAAATCTTTTATCTGGGCCAGAAAAAAAAGGAATAGACAAACTGAGTTTAGTTATTACAGAAACGTGTCTCATGTGCCTTCACTGTTAACCAGGATTGAGTGTAGTCTTTTTTTTTTTACCTCCCTTATTTCTGCATTGTTTCTTTCTTTTGGTGACTAGCATTTTACCCTTTTCTTCTCAACAACAGGGCTGGGTGGAGATCTCCTCGGAACACCGTTAATAAGGAAGGCAAAAGATTATGTCCAAAAGGTGAGGTTCTTGAAAAAAATCAAGAATTAGGCTTTATGTTAAAAATGGAATGAAATGCCAAATTCCTGTGCATTTGTTTAAACTGCCACCAACCTAAGACACTGTAAAACTTAATGAGTAAAACTGGCACGAAGGATCATGAACAAGGCTTGGAACAAATGTAAGTTTGCTCGGCTATTTTCATCCCATCGTGATTTTTATGCACCACCTTTTCCTCAAAAAATAAACCCTTTAATGGATAAAACAGTAAATTAAATGCCACAACTAATGTGCTACCAGATGTAGGAAAAAGTGGTTACTTCTTTTCAGGCCAGACGCCAGAACACCGTCGTCCCCCTTCTCCGGCTGAAACTTCAGCCGCGCCCACGGCGGGGCGGGCGCGTGGTCCCGGTCGCGACCCGGAGCGCTCTGGGCGGTCTCCGCAGGCCAGGCAGCGAGGGCGCGACCACTCCCCGAAAACTGGGCTCCGCGGCCACAGGCGGCGGCGCGGGCCACGGGCTGCACGGAGGCGGTGGGGCGGCGCGGGCGCTCGCCACCCGCCGCCAGTTGTCCCCGCGAGCCTCGCGCCTCGCCCCCCGGGAGGAGGCGGCCCCGCCGCGCCTCCGCAAGTCACGTGACGGGAAGGGGGCGGGGCCGGCGCCCGATGTGAGGGATCTTGGCCGCTCTGGGCGCCGTGAGCGGCGGCGGCGGCGCGGCCGATGACAGCATTCGGTCGCGACGCTTTCCCGGCCCGGCGGCTCTGGTAGCGGTTCCCAGAGCAGCTGCAGCGGTTGCTTTGGCCGCGGCCGCAGCCGCCACGCGTAGCGACCGAACGGAGGGAAGGCGGGGGCCCCTTCGGCGCGGGAACTGCGGAGCCCGCGTTCCCGCCCACTTCGCCTGCGGGCTAGCGCCCTCGGGCTGGGCTCCCGCCCCCGCCGCCGCCAGCTCCAGCGGCCAAGGGAAGTTGGGGGCCGCCCGAACGCTCGCAGGGCCCGGCAGGACCCGGTCCCCTGCGTCCCGCCTCTCCGGTGGCCCCGCACTGGTGAGTGTCGCGCCGGTGCCCGAGTCGGAGCGGCCGTCCGCACCCCTGCGGACGACCGCAACCCTTCTCCCCGGGTTCTGAGCCTGGGCCGCGGGGCCTCGGTGCCCCGCGCCGGGTAGTTCCTCTTCGGCTCCTTTGTCCGGTGCGGACGGGGATTTCGGAGGCTGGCCGGGCTGCAGTGTTTGGGGCCCACGGTGGTGCGTCGGCAGCCTTACAAAGCCGCAGCAGAGGCGGATGCCTGCGAGCATTTTGATCGCCGGAGCGCCTCCCCCGAAGTTCGGGCAGACGAAGAGGTGTCGCCGGAAGACCCCACGCCCGGGACAGCGGCAATTTGTCACTTGGTGCGGTTAAGGCGAGGCGCCCGTTCTCCTGTGACAGCCCCAGAGGGGGTTGTGCTGCAGACCGCACCCGCCCTTGCCGGCGAGTGACACGGGGTTGTCCCTCTAAACTCAGTTTCTGTGGCTTTGTAACGTCTCAGGAGGGCGAAGCCTTTGCTGTCCTTTTAAACTTAATGTTTGTTCCCAAGCCCTTTCTCCAGAGTGGAATCAGGTTCCTGGAGCTGCACACGGAGTGTGCTTTTGGTTCCTTGAGTCACCCGCTCAAGACTGGCTGAGGCGAAGCAACAGTGTATGCAGATTTTCCATTCACAGAAATTGTAGTTCTTTATGAGAGACATATGCGTTTAGGAATATACCTAATTTCTTTTTATCTAAAGCTGTCTGAAACAATACATGACGTGGGTTCCTGCTTGAACAGTGGGAAAACTTTTCTAACTGATGGTGTAAGCATATTTGACTTCTAAATAGTATTAGAATGCCCTGTATATCGTAGGGTTATTAGTTTTCATTAACCTGCCCAGAAGCTGAGCTTCAAATTAGTGCCTCTTTAGGTTTCTGTAAATAATCATTTAAAACAGGGTTTTTTTTTTTTGCCTGCTTTAGGACTTCAAGGAGCACAAGGTGAACTACTTGTTAGGGTTTCTCCATCCCATCAGACGTTATCTAAACTTAATCTTACTGAGACGCTATGGTCAGTTTCTGTGCATGCTAGAACTTGTTTTGCAGTGAAATTATTAAGATCATGTTAGTTGTATAAAGCAGGTTGGGAAAGGAATAGTACGGGCATGCAATTTGTCCTCTAAAGTACAACTAATTTCAAGTTATCCCTTTTTGTTAGCAACTATATATGGAATGACTACCTTATGCCTGTTCAAAGTACTGGGAAAGCGAATAGATGAAACCTAAGAGCTACATTTTAGGTCTTTAATTATGGAGATTAAGTCGTTGGGTCAAATTCCATGTGAACCATTTGAGCCACAAAATACATTGTACACAGTGCTTAGAAATGTCTGTTTAATTAAAAGAGGTCATGGTTTACTGTTGAATTTTGTTGAATCATAATATTTATTGTATCTGTGATCTGTGAAAAGATGCTGCTATATTTTTTCAGTTAGAATGTTGTTACATTTTAGAGGCAATCAAATATGTTTCTTACAACACATAGACATAAACTTGGCAATATCTAGTTTCTTGGTTCATTTTCGAATTGAAAAACTTCTGAAAATATACTTTTGGGGTAAATATACAAGTCTGGAATGAAGTTATGTTTTAGTTCTGATTTTTAACAGAAAATTATGAATTTACAAAATCAGCATTACAGGAATCTTCTTTGTTAAAGAACAAATTGCAGAATTTCTTTAGTGAATGCTTTCAGTACATTTAAACTTGGGTTGGTTTATAAATAATCCTTCAAGAGCAGGTTACTTAAACTGAAGCATGAGTAACAAAATAAAGCATTGATACTTAGATGTAGTTTTCTAATATTATTTTGGAAAATGCTTATCCTAATAGCAATACCTGAAGTATTATATTTTAATATTAATAGTACCCAAAGCTGAGCACATGATAGCAATGATCTTGAAGTATCAGGGGATTCCAAAATAGAAGACAGAGGTCCTACCTTATTCTTCCGAATATGACCTACAAATAATATGTAAGTACAACTTGAATTAAAAATCCTCTTAGTACTTAATTAATGGAGGCGGCTAGGTGCCAGGAGATTGGAGGTGCTTGATCGAAGCAGTGGTGGCTGAGGTACAGTTTCCTTGTGGATGGGATCCAGGAAGCGATGTCTGTATTAATAGGTGCACATTTCATGTCAATGTGTGTGAAACCCTTGAGAGATTTTAGATCTATCCTTCCTTCCTTGGTCCCCAGGTCCTCATATCTCCTCTCAAAGGTATGAAGTTGAAGGTCTCATGGAAAACATGATAGAAGGGATTTTTCTTCCCTGAAAAATCTTTCTAAGTTTGCAAGGGAGAGAGCTTTCTTCAGAGATCTTGTAGGGAAAGAAGGAATCCTTGTTCAGGAACATCATACTGGTATACGTTATGTTATTTTTTACCCTTGTGGTAAAGTGGCAGACAATGTAAGTTCTCCCTGGTAGCAAGAGCTGTCTGTTTTGCTTACTGTTAACTCTCCAAATGCTTAGTAGTTACTGAATGAAAAAATGTAGTTCCAAAGGTATGACTGGAGAACAAGGAGGGGTATATGATAATGTAGCCCACAGTAGACAAAAGTAGTGAGATGGTAAAGAAAGAGTGTTGGCTTGGGAAGATGGGAGCAAGTTATTTAATATGGGAGACTTTCTTGGAGGAGGTGATCCTTGAGTTAGGTCTTGCCGAAAGCTGTCTGTCCGAAGATGAGCAGGTATTTTAAAGGGGTCGCGGCATGACCAAAGCATTTGAATTGGCCTGGGTAATCATGTTGGATTAAGCACAGTGAGTCTTTTTATAACATAATGAAGAATTTTTCTTCTTCCCTCACAACTGTTGCCTCTCCCAGATAAAAAGATTGGCACACCTTTAAAAGCTAAGAGTTAGAGTACTTGAGTTTGGGAAGTGAGAATGCTACAGTGTGAAAGCAAGAACATTGAATTGGGGGCAGACAATTTGATTGGATTTCTGATTGCATCTTAGACAACCAAGTAGCTTTAGGCAACTCACTGGGCCTTAGTTTTCTCATTTGTAAAGGGAGAATAATAATCTTTATCCCACATAGTTGTTGGGAGAATGAAATTACATGATGTACATGGAAGCAACTACCTCATGAACCCATAGGGGAACTTCAAACATTAAATTGTTTAATTTGCCTTTGTATCATTAAAAAATATTTTGGTGTATTTTTTTATGAAATCTATTATCTACTTGACCTTTGAGTTGACCATGGTATTTTAATTTATCATTATCAGAATTTTAGATGCTTAGTTTTTTTTTTTCAGTCAAGCGTAATTTCTGATAGAAATCAGGCATCTAAATGTTACAGACCACAAGAAATGCTAGATGCCTCAAATTTTTAAAGCTTTATGTAAGGGATATGTGTGGTTGAAAATATGAGCCTTTTTTCTTTCTTAGGCTTTTCTCCTCCACAGAATGTGTTTTTGAAGATATTGCCCTTGCAGTCTATTCATTGTTGTGAAGAAACAGGGTTTTTTCCTTCTATTATGGGAAAAAAAATTACCAAAAATATCCTCCATATGTTTTTAGGGATCTGAGTGACAGCAGACCATGAAGAATCTCTACCTGCTATGCTTTATTTTAGAGTTCAGTGTTTTTTTGATCAGACTAGAAGACTTCTGCATCATGTCTTACCTAAGCTTTTTGCTGCAACAACTGTTTGTACTTTTATGAATCTCAAAATTTCATTATATTTTCTAAACTCTTTGTAGTGTTTATAATCCAAAGAGCAGTCTGTCCTTTGTGTAATGTTCAGAAGAGAATTTTATTATAAAAACACTAAAAAGAGTCTTGGGTGTTAAAATGAAAAAGAAGCCAGTTACCCACCACCTTCCATATTCACGGACGACTGAAAAAAAGAGGAAATGGTTTTTAAGCTTGAAAACTCTTTTCAGTTAAAAAAGGAGACACTTTTTGATTTAGGGTTGTTGAAAACACGATAGGTTCAGCAAGAGATTGTTACAGCTCCCGGAGGTGTCTTAGTAGGAGTGGTTGGTCACAGTAATAACTGATTCACGGTGACTGCTATGTACTGGGTACAACTTAAGAAGTACTTGACATATGTTATAACCTTTAATCCTCGAAACGCCCCCCCAAAATCAGGCTATTTTCTTGCCCTTTTTTAAACAGAGTAGTAGACAAGTGGAGCCTGGATTTGAACTAACCTGAGTCGAGGGGAGGCTCAGTAGCAGGTGCTGGGAAGCTAGCCTGCCCTTTAACAACACATTATATTGCCTTGCAGAGTTTATTGGCAGCGGCCCCTTGTGACAGGTTTTGATGTTCCTAATCTTTCTGAGTCTATTTTGACTGTATGATTTAATGAACTAATACATACTTTGTGATCGGTTGGCATATAGCTTTGATTTTTTCATTTCTTGTGTATTTGACATCCTATTTTTTTTTTAATCTTAAAAATACTTGGAGTAAAGCAAGTAATTCTTTATTTGGTTGCCATTTTCTCACTAGGAAATTCTAGACTAAGCTGGAAGTACAAGACAGTAGATAACAGTATGTTAAGGTGATTTGTTAGTTTTTAAAATTCATGTTAAAAGTAAGTCAGATGCACAGAATTGGTGTGGATGGTTTTTATGTGGAAATACTTGAGGGACAAAAATCTATATAATTGAGGTTACCCTATTGAAATTTCCACCATTAAAGTAACATTTTTTTTGCTGCCAAATGCCACATATTAGCAGAATAGTTTATCAGATTACATAGTTTCTTACAAAGACTCAGGCCCCTGTGGAATATGAAATCTGTGTGGCTATGTTTTGATGGTGAGAGTATGGTCGATTTGGGGAGATAGTCTAGTCTAGCATTATTACTGGGCAGAAGTAATGAGGTGGGACGCCTTGGACATGAGGGCACAGGGACATGGTTCAAGTGGGGAGTAGGCTTCTGAAGACTAGCTTCCTGTAAAATTTTACTTATAGTTTTGACTATAAAAAACAGTGCTGTGCATAGTGGGAAGTTTGTAGTAGTTCGT